CTTCTTTGAACTTCAATTTCCTTATCTATAAAATGAGGGTGTGGCCTTACTGCACACAGCCATTCTGAGCCTCAGGTGGGGTAAAATATCAGCAATGGCTTAACCACAGGACTCAAGACCATCAGATGGGGAATCCCAGCCCCAGCCCCTATGAACTCTGTGACGGTCAAATTTCCATACCTCTCTGAGACTCATTTTCCTCAACATTGGGATAACAACAGTACTTATCTCTCAGGGGTGTTATAAATGAATTGTAGTGAGTTAATTTTATAAAGCACTTAACATATACAGTATCTGATACACACAGTGTATGTTAAGTAAACTGCATCTTTCAATGAAATCTTGATGGAAAACAATGTTTTTATAGACATGGTCTGAAGTTCTTCATATAAACCAAATGTGTCCTCTCTTTTCTTATCTTATTCATAGACATATTATTTTTCCTCTTGATCCCCGACTACAAGATAAGTACTATCCAGCTAGGAAAAAAAAAATAGGAGCTTACACTACTGCTTATTGACTATTTTGAAAAAAAAAATAAAGAGGTAAATTTTGCATGGTGTCTTTATGTAACTGTTGGCCAATTCTCTTATTTGAGCTGTTGAGATGACCTTCAGGATGCCATAACCCTAACTTCTAATAAATGAAATTCAGCTAGTGTCACTGGCTTGAAATGGCACACAGCAAGAAAACTACAGCTAGCAGCCAACTCTTCACCACAGAATATTATGCCAAGCCTAACAACTTACATTTGCTCATTTAGTTGCCATCTATGGAAAGGTGAAAAACAAAAGGCACTTGATAATTCTGTTTCACTTTCCTGTGTTAGCTACAGGTTCAACCTGAACTCACTTTGTGTACAGCGTGTTGGTGAGAGACGCTGGGGACATTGCGAGTGAACTTTGAGTTCTCTGCTTCACTTGTATGTCCCTGGAATCTCCTGACACTGTAAAAAATGGTCCCTTGCCCTAACTGGTGTGGCTCAGTGGATAAAGCATCGCCTGCGGACTGAAGGGTCCTAGGTTTGATTCCGGCCAAGGGCATGTACCTTGGTTGCAGGCACATCCCCAGTGGGAGGTGTGTAGGAGGCAGCTGATCGATGTTTCTCTCTCATCGATGTTTCTAGCTCTCTATCCCTCTCCCTTCCTCTCTGTAAAAAATCAATAAAATATATATTTTTTAAAATGATCCCTTGTTAGGAAGGGTCTGTTGCCTCAATTCCACTGCACAGGCCAATCCAGGTGATGCACAGGGCTGCAAAGACAGCACTAAGCAGGAGTTCATTCTCTAGAATGGAGACTTCTCATAAATGTGAACCCACAGAAGTAGCTATAAATGAGCTAATGAGATGCATAAAGGGAGCTATAAATGAGCTAATGAGACCCATGACCTGACTGGCCTTTCTGGCCAAACTCCCCACAAGTATCAGACACTCATGCACACTTTATCTGGAAAACTCACTTCAGGACAAAATATTGAATTCACAGTTCAATCCTCTCCAGAGTAAAAGCCCACAATTCATTTTTCTAAAGTGAATATGTGGAAAGACACCTGTTGGGTATGCCATGCAATTTGTTATAAAACTAAGCATAGGTTATTTTTAAAGAAGAACACCTTGCTTTGAGAACATAGGCAATGCTGGACTCTCCTTGATACAGACTCCAAAACCATTTTGACATAGACTGAGTAGATGCCAAGTTAGTCATGTACCCAAAATAAGGACTTCTCTGCCTCACTTATATGGATCTTTAAACCTATCTAAGGAATGTCAAGAATCACTCTTTTCAGTCCATAATTTTAGAGTGTCAACATGATGTTTACTTATCATTTCAGCCAAGATTTTCAAACCAGTGTTACATTCCAAGCACAGTCTTTATTTCTAGGTGCCAAAATATGACAAAAGAATTGAAATAATATAATATCAGGCTTTAGCTATTTTAAGGAACTGAAGAAAATGAATTATGCATAATCCTGAGAAAATGATTCTTTTTATTTGTTTTAAATGCCACTGTGAAAATACAAGTTTCCATAATTTTCCTTTTGGTCCAGTATTGGATATAGGTTAAGATGATCATAACCTCAAGAAAACCTGGAGCCTTTGATGATCTCCACATCAGAGAATAAAAATTCTCATTAATTGTTCTACATGAGTAAACTTCTTAAGGAGAGAAAAAAATTGTCTGCTTCTTCAGGATAATCCTTCTGACCTCAGTGTACTGACTAAATCCTTTATTTCTGCACTCAATGCATCATATGATACTTTAGTCACCTCCCTCCATATGCCCTATTCTCCACTGGACTGCAAGTTTCCTAAGGATTACCTCTGATTTCCTTGTTCTATTTCCCAGTGCCTGATACAGAATACGTGCTCAGTAAGTGTTTGTTAAACATTACAAAGTTCTCTTTAAAATTTGATTGATACCTTAAAAAATTTTTTTTCATTGATGCCCTCGCTGGTGAGCTTAGTTGGTTGGAGCATTGTCCTATACATAAGAAGGTGGCAGGTTCAATTTCCAGTCAGAGCAAATACCCAGGTTGCAGGTTCGATCCCCCGTAGGGGTGTGTACGGGAGGCAACTGATCGATATTTCTCTCTCTCTCTCTCTCTCTCTCTCTCTCTCTCTCTCTCCCTCCCTCCCTCCCTTCCTCTTTCTCTAAAATAAATTAAAAATGACTTAAAAAATTGTTGTGATTGATAATCATTTCAATAAGATACAAAAAAAAATTTGTCCCATAGAATGATCTATATCCTAGAAAAGCATTTTTATGGGTCAAATTGCATTGCATTTCATGAGCAGGATCTCTAAGTCTTCTGAATAATAAGTATAACATGAAATGGAGGTTAAGCAGTTATTTGATAAAGTGTTTCAAACTAGGCATAAATGCACACTTCAAATACCCTTCTTACCAGACACAATTTTTTAAAATTAAATAATCTTTTTTTCTACATTGATATTTCTGAAACACAAGTGATTCCTTAGGCAAAGTCAAATTTTAAAACAGATATGTGCTTGTTTTGTTTTAAAATATGTTTTTATTGATTTCAGAGAGAGAAAGGGAGAGGAAGGGAGAGGAAGGGAGAAGGAGAAAGAGAGAGAAACATCAATGGTGAGAGAGAATTATTAATTGGCTGCCTCCTGCATAACCCCCCCCCCCCCACCGGAAATTGAGCCCACAACCTGGGCATGAACCCTGACCAGAAATCAAACCATGACTTCCTGGTTCATGGGCCAACGCTCAACCACTGAGCAACACCAGCTAGGCACAAATAAGATTTATAATTAAAAGATAAAAAGGAAAAAGGAAACCCAAGCCCAGAAGTTTTACAAAAAATCTCCAAAAGCATTTGTATCACTTGTATATGGACTACAGGGATTATGACTAGAAGTATAGAAATGGAGGGTGGATAAAGTGATACAATGAGAGAGATAAGTGGCAAAAAATTATCCTATTCTAAACTTAGACTCCAAAATCACTTCAGGAGAAATTTCACTAGCGTCAAGTATAAAGTTTCTCTTTGGCTTCCTAAGTCAGATATATTAAGACTTTTAAATCCCTGAATGCATAAAGGGCACCCTTGATGTAACATGTACATCAAGGCTGGACAGACCTGAATACAACTTCTTCTGGGCTCTGAAGTTGTTTAACTCCACTTCCAAAGTAAAAACGCATTTATTAATGCTACTACCGCTATTATGACAACAACAACAATTACAGCCACTATCACTTCTGCTTCTACCTTCTTCAGCTGAACCCTATGACAGGTGTTTTACACATATAATATCAAATCTTCATAGAGCCCCATAAGAAAATTGCAATTATTTCCATTATACAGGTGAGAAAGCTAAGCTAAAGACTGAGGCTTAAACAAAACTTACCCATATGGCAGAGGCAGATTTCAAACTGAGTCTGTGCAATACCATAGTCTATCCTTGCTTTTTATTGGATTATCAGGCCCACCAACTACTTGAGTTTGGCGCTCCTGTAGAAAGCATTAATGCTTGCCTGTGGGTGTGGGGTTCAATTCAGTACCAGGGCAATCATTTTTAATGTACTCCATTGACCTTTGGATAAGTGCTCATTTCTAATCAAAACAACACGGAGTGCCTTAATTAAAGAAAATAAAAAGGAAGTACCATTTCGGTCATATAACATAAAACACATAAAATTATTGCTCAAAAGGCGGTATAGGCAAGATACTAACAAGAAAAAAGAGAAACAACTCCCATTGATTGAGTGCTTACAATATGCCATCACTGTTTTGAGCACTTGACATGCATTAGCCTGTTTATTTTCATAACAACCTCTTGCTATGCCCCTTTTGTGGATGAGAAAACTGAGGTACAAAAAGGTTAATAACTGGCCCAGGATGACATGGCTAAATATCACAGTAAGAAGGAGAACAGGGGCTTAAATCCAGATAGAGAACCCATGCTCTGAATAAATTGTTTACAAAACAGAGTATAATTCAAAACCCAGTAAATGACAGTGCCGCTAATGGCTGCAAAGAAAGTCTGGCCATAGCCCACCATGCCCTCTCCACACACAACATTGGGCCCTTTGATGGCAAGAGACCAATGGACTATATGAGAGATGAGGCTGATCCAGGAGGGCAATGGCTCTATTTCTATGAAAATATTAACATGCTTACCAAAACCAAGCTGAAGAAAACCTTTAAGGGTGAATTTTAGGAAGAGAGGCAGTCATGTTCAAATTACTTTATGCAAAGAAAGAAAACAACTATCACTGATTTTTAGAACATCCACACTAAAAGCCACAAATATTTGCAGACTACAGAAATCTAACATCAATAAACTTTGAACCATCATTGGAGTGGTAAGCTCTTCTAGGAAGAAAAGCATTTTCCCCCATCTATTTTTTTCCATTTCTTCCATTAGATCTTTGTATTTATAATGATGATGATGATGATGATGGTTTTACATTTACTGAGTTTCTACTTTGTGCCTAGAGTGTGATAAAAGTTTTACATTTAATAACGTAATCGCTTCTCGGCCTTTTGGCTAAGATCAAGTGTAGTATCTGTTCTTATCAGTTTAATAATAATGTAAATACTCGTTTGATATTCACAAAAGCCCTACAGAGTCATTATCACTATTTTCTATACTGAAGAAACTGAGACTCAGAAAAGAAACTTGCCCAAGGTCAACAGCCATTTCATTTTTGTTTGATCTAAAAGCCCATAATATTAATTGTGTATGTCCAGAATATATGTGTGGCCACCTGACTGTCCCATCCTTCTGCAGAAACAAAGGCCACAGTAAGCTCTGCACCTTCTGGCCAAGTTCCATCACCTCCAAGTCCTGGGCAGAAATGAATGGAGCCACACTGGCCAAAGACTGACCAGAAACCTCAGTGCGCTTTGACCACCTCTTTAGACTAGAAACAGGTACACTCCCTCATAATGATGTTCTAACTAGAAAAATATCCCCAAGACGGACCAGTATGTTTAGTTTTCAGAACATTTGTCACTACAAAGTTCATCATAGTTCTGAAGGAAGGACTAGAGTGCTTCAAGACAGAACTAAAACACAAGAGGCTCAAGGAAAGAAGCGAATGCTCCTAATTTAAGTTTTAGTCTAAAACATGTTTGCAGTTGAACCTGGAAGGTGTGGCTCAGTGGTTGAGCATTGGCCCATGAGCCAGAAAGTCATGGTTCAGTTCCCGGTCAGGTTACATGTGGGGTTGTGGGCTCAATCCCCAGTAGGGGGCGTGCAGAAGGCAGCCACTGATGTTTGTCTCTATCCCTCCCCCTTCCTCTCTCTAAAATCAATAAAAGTATTTTTTTAAAATAAAATAAAATGTATTCTCCTTTGAATAAATTGTCCATAGCTGTGACTATTACATTTTGATAGCCAGAAATGATGGCACTAGGTCAGATAAGAACAACCACTATGGAAATGTTGAAAGTACTTACTGAGGTAGTAGGAAAAAGACTTCAAAGTTGACTACATCATTATTAAGTAACATTTTGTTAGACATTTCAATTCATAAGCACAGTAAGTCTTTGAATAGATAAAAATATCTTCTATTACAACCAATTACTATGATGGATGATAAAATATGAGAAAAAATAAAATGTCTTTTAACACTCTTCTCGCTACCCCCTCACACATACTCAGACCTCCCGGAACCACTGTGCTTCTCAGGAAGCACCATGCTCTTCCCAGTGTTGGTGATGCTCATAGTGCAACCTCTGCCTCCAACTCCTTGCTTCTCCCCTTTTCCCATCAGACTAAGCCACCTCAGCCACCCTCCTCCAGGAAGTCTCCATGGATTCCCTCCTCTGTGCAAGCATCAATCAAAGCATTTATCCCACGGTTTACTTTTTGGTCTCCACAAGAGACCAAGAATTCTTTGATGACAGAGACCACTCTTACTGTTTTTTATATCACGGCACTTAGTTAAGGCTCTCAAGAAAATTTATACTAAATGAATGAAAATATATTGAAAAATTAAGAGCTTCTTAGAAATAAGAGGGGAAAATGTCTAAAATGCAAATCTTGCACAATGTAATCTGGTCCTCATTGTTCATAAGGGTGTGTTTTAAAAACACACACACACACAGAAGGATGTACTAGTACTTAACTGTCCTTCACTAAATATATTTTGTAACTCCAAACCACATAGATATACCGTTACTTTAAACTGATTTACTGTTCAACAAATGTATGAATTCGGACAGTATAACTGAATAAGTATACATATGAAATAATAAAGCCACCACAAAATTATGATACAAATGTAAAAAGCGCAATGACACTTTGAATAGGTGCCGCGTAGTTCTGACACTGATTCCAATAGGAACAAGCCGTTTACCCTTTGGTCTCAGGTTCTCCACCCATAAAGTGGGGGTGACCATCCTTGCCACTGCTTCAGTCAGGTCTCGTAAGGACAATGGAGATACAGCGTAAGCGTGCGAGTCTTCGCAATGAAGGCACCAGAATGCAACGTGTTACATACCCCCAGGTAGAGTTCCCGCCGCCACCCCTCCCGGTAATGACCCTTCCCCACTCTGTGCTCCCGCCAGCAGGCTGAGAGTGTAGACCTTTGCATAAACGTGTTGACAACCAAAATAAAGTCTACGTCGGTGGGCACAAGCTTTCCTCGCTGGGGCTCGGTCTGGATTAGAAACCGCGAGGGACTTGCTCCCCTGCGGAGGCCACGCCTGCGCCCCTCTGGACCCCGTTACGCTTGTGCCAGGTGAAACGGATCCCGGGCCTTTGCGCTCCTCCATCCAAAAGAGTGGGGTCCAGCTAATTCAAGGGTCAAGGTAGCGGAGTAGATGGGGAGGAGGAAGAGGAGGAGGTGAGACTGGAGGGCTTGGGCGGAGAGCTTACCTGGCCTCGCCGAGGGGCGCCAGGGGCGGGTGCGGAACGAACACCCCACAATCAGACGGCGGGTGCGGAACGAACACCCCACAGTCCGACGGCGGAGGCTGCGGCTTCTTCTTGGAGCGCCAGAGGTGGAAAGGGGTGTGCTTCTTGGAGCTCCTGGACGGGCTGGACTCCCCGGGGTCGCCCTGAGGCGGCAACGACAGTGGCATCTTCTCGTCCGCCTCCTCCACCTGCCGCTCCGACGCTGCTCTGTCCGCCGCCCGGCCCTTGTGGAAGAACATACCTGGGCTCCGGCTCGCCTGCCTTTCGCAGGGCGCCGTCGGTCCCCGCCCCCTCGGCGGGGAGGCCAGGACCGAGCCGAGACCGCACCGCAGCGGGAGACCTCTGCGCGGAGACGACGGCCGGGCCGCGGCACAGCGCCCCCGCGTGGCGAGGGCGGCACAGCGCGGCAGCCCAGGTGAGGCGCGCGCGTCGGGAGCCGCAGGTAAGGCCCACGCGGTCCCCGGCCTCCCGGCGCGCGGCAGCTGTGGGGCAGCGACACCTACTGGGATCCTTGGGAACTGCGTCTCCTGACACTGCACCGCCTTTGTCTGGTTTGGGAACTAGAGGGGGGCCGATTTCCATACCTCCGGTGCATGTGCCATCTGCCGCAGGCGGAGTTGTTGGCCGCTAGCGACCTGTGCCAGGCTGGCAGGATAAGTGGCTTAGCCATGAGTCCCGCCTGAAGAAGGATGGGAGAGGCGCATCCCGTGGCCGGGCCACCCCGCAATTATGACTATTCCACTCTGGCCTTTGGGTGGCTTGGGCAATATCATGCTGGGTGGCTTCCGTTTCTGTTTGTAAACATGAGTGCCAACTTCTCATCTCTCCCTTTAAGAGTCTAAATAACTAATTTGTACTTACATCTCATAAAGCACAAAAGGATAAAAAAAACCAAAAGGTGATTAGGCATATTCCCCAGTTCCCAAAGGACTTAATAGGTCCCTCACAGTGAATTAAATGCCAATCCCACTAGGTTCTCATCATCTGCGTTACTGTTAATGATTTTCTTTATTAACTTCACAATTGTGGTTACATAGCAAAGGCGACTAATATTTAAGCAAAGGAAGTACATGAGCAACTATTTTGGGCATTATTCGAGTATAAAGAGCTCAAGAACCAAGCAATGCTTAAAAATTCAACGCAGCACAAAGTCCCTCCTATACTGTGATACCTTCTTTCTTTTATCTTGAAGACCCAGCTCATTCATTCGTTTTTATTTAATTATTTTTATATTTACATTTTTACCAAGGTATAACCTACCTACAGTTCTAAAATATGCAGATCACAAGTATATAACTCAATTTTTTACAGATTTATGTGGTTGGGGATATAAAATTATTTTAATGAAGAACAGTTGACATGGCCCAGAAAAATCCTCTGTATGTGGCTTTTAAATATACCATTATAAAAATAAAGAGTATTTCCAAACTTTAGAAGTTTCTCTCCTGCCCTGACTCAGTGCCTTACAGCCCCTGCCCCTTCTGTAAAAGTTAACCATTATTTCAACCTCTATTACCAGTAACTAATTTTGCCTCTTCTGGAAGTTCATCACAATATGTGTAATCACAATATGTAATTTTTTTGTGTTTGGTCTCTCTTGCTCAATATTAGTCTATGAGAATCATCCATTTTGTTACATGTAGTAGTTTTTCATTTTTAAGAAAAATTATTGTGTACTATTCCATGATATAAATATACCACAATTCTTCTACCCCTTCTACTGGGGATGGACATTTAGTTGCTTCCAGTTTGGGCTATTATAAATAAAGTTGATATGATGAACCTTCTTAGACATAAACACTCATTTCTTTTGGGTATATACCCAGGCATTCAGTCTCAGAGTAGAATATGCATATGTTCAGTGTTAGTAAATTTTGCCAAATAATTTTCCAAAATGGTTGTATCAATTTATACTCCTCCCAACAATGTTTGAAATTTCCAGTTTCTGCATCTTCATCAACCTTTGATATTATCAATCCTTTTCATTTTGGTCTTTCTGATAGGAGTCTCAAGAAATATTTATTTTAAAAAACTCAAAAAAAGAAAAACACACACATAAAAACAAAAAGAAACCCCAAAATAAAATACAAAAAAATATTTTTTGAGTACTACTTATTTGCCAGGCCCTGACTTGGGGGAGGAGGATGACTAACAGATACATAGGTGATATATGAGAATTGGTAGAGGTATGTACAAGGCATTATGGGAGTTTGGAAGCATCACTAACAGAGCCTGGGAGTTTGGGGAGGAGGAACAGGAGTACTCAATAAGGATTTGTTATAAAACTGGCCTTAAAGGGCAAAGGAAACTGCAAGAAAAGGGAAAGAGAGAAGGAAAAGAGAAGCAAAGGAAGAAGAGGGAAAAGGAAAAAAAAGGAAATCTTCTTATACACATTTGTTCAAATATTTACAAGTTCAGTAATTCAGTCTTTCATTCCTGACTCCTCCAAGCAGAATTCTTCATGGCACCCCTCTTTGTGTCACCAGCAAATCTGGTATATATTTCAGTTATCACACTATTCACATTGCATGGGCCTCATTTATTTACATATATGTGTCTCCTATTAGCCTGAGAGAAACTTAAGGACATTTCTCATTTATTTTTATATTTTCAGAACACGAATGTCCATTAAATGAAATAATCCAAATGAACTGGCATACTAACTTGATTGAATACCTAGACTGTCTCAGGCACAGATCTTTTAGACTGTGCACTTTGTAAGAGCAAATGTCACATGCCTTTTTCATGATTATATCCCCAATGACTAGCACAGTGCATAGCACAGAGTAGACACTCAATACAT